CATGCATGCTGGTCAGGCTCTCTCCCAGCTGGACCACATCCCTAACCCCAGGAGTACTTTGTGGTGGTCTATTTTTGTTATTTCTTTGATTTGCCTTTGAAATCTGCTCTTGCCCCCACTCTGCTTTCTAGAACTTGCCTGCAAATAGATCTTGGAGTCTTTAATCCACTCAAAGTATGTTAGTGAATGTAGTTATACTTTCCTTTGGGGGACCTCCAGTCCCCAAATAACAACATAGAGACTTCATATTAATTATGAAAACTTGACCTTTAGCTTAGACTTGTCTGTCTCCAGCTAGCTCTTACAACTTAAATTAACCAGTTTTTATTAATCTTCATTCTGCCATGTGGCTTTTTTCCTCTCCACTATTCTGTATGTCCAACTTGGTCCAAGTTTCCCTTTTGCTTCTGCCTCTCTTCTTCCCAGAGTCCTCTCTCTTCCTGAAGTCCCACCTAGTCTCCCCAGTCTTGCTCTCGGCCATTTAGCTCTTTATTAAACCAATCAGAAGGCACCTTGGTCAGACATCACACCTTTACAGTGTAAACAAATATTCTACCACAAATGACTTCTTTTTTGTTGGCTTCTAGAGGGAATTCCATAATCTCTCTACTTGTGCCTTTGTGGAGAACTGGGGGGGTTTGTACTTGACTGAGCAGTTACATCCAGTCTGCCAGGTATGATGTGAAACTCACAAATCAGGCAAGCATCCCGCCTGCCATTCACACACATGTGGACTGAAGCTAAACCTGGTGTCTTGATGGTTAGCGTCATGTTTGTTTATTGTACTTGGTAAGGTCTTTATAGATGGGACCTCAGGCTCTGTCCTGGTCCACATTTCAGTTGTGGTGGGTGCTATTTAATAACTGTCTTTAGTACAGCACCTTTGAGCTTATGGCTGCATGGCACCTTGTAGCTTACAGGTGCATTGGTGTGCACCCGTCCCTCACCGCACCACAGCAGCTTTTGCTTATATCATCTTCTCTGGTCAGAGATGAGAAATGTGAGGCCCTGCTGCCCATGCCATTGCTCAGACGGCAGAGATGAGGCAGTGAGAGGTGACAAGTGAAACAGCATCCAAAATATCTGGACTAGATAGACAGGAATCTAACACGAGGGGAGGCTTAATGAAAACAGATTTGTGGTTTGAGTCCTAGGATGGCGCCCACCAGAGACTCTGAGTTCCGCAGAACTCAAGAGAGCGTCAGATTGTCCTCTTCACCTGGAGAGCTGGGTGGATGTTACCAGAAGTAGTGATGCTGGGAAGTCAGGGTCCCCTCTTGGGTGCTTAGTCTCACTACAAGAGAATTTAAGAATGGACTAAGTGGAGTGAGAGGGCAGTTCTTTCTAGACTTTAAAAGAAAATTCCCCAGGGCAGAGACAGTGCAGGTCTCAACACTGCTTTGAGGAGGAGGAAGGGGAAGAGAAGGGTTTGGCTGGCATGCCGTTTGAGTTAGCTGCTGTGGAGGTCAGCCAGCCACATGGCGGAGAGGCAAGCACAGGGTGGGAGGGGAGCTTTAGAAGAAGCATACAGGAGCCCAGGGTGCATGAGGAAGCATGCTGAGGACAGGGAGAAAGAGGAAAAGGAAAGATGAGGCTTCTCTGAGGAATTCAGGGAGTGGGCAGGTTCATGGAGCCCTCGAGTGACTTGTGGCGCCAGTGCACTGTGGCCCTGGGCAGAAATTCTGGGAGAAAAGTTTATTATCTCACTAAAGCCTAATTATTGCTCCTTTAGTATGGCTTGAGGTGAACCTGCCTTCCCAGGAGTAGAACCATCTTCCTGAAGGGCAGTCAGTTCCTTAGCCAGGTCCTAGACCCAGGCCAGAGATTCCATCTCTGAGAGAGATGCTTTTCTCTTAATGGACCCTAGGGTTAGGGCTAGGGCTAGGCAGAGTCGTGATGCCCCAGGGAGTGCCATGTCTCTCTGTGCGGTCTGTGACTATGTCACACTACCGGCAGCCACAGGGAGGAGGTCAGATTGGAGGATAGCTTACATATCTGACTGAGCTCAGTGTAATCATGGGGAAAGAGGAGTGTAGAAGGAACGGAAGTAGAAGCAACAGATGAGGGATTCAGGTATCCCTAGATGCTAGAAGCTGCTAAGAAACAGATTTCCCTCAAAGTCTCCAAACCAGAGACAGCATTGCTAATCCATAACTTGGTTTTAACCTGGTGAGACCCAGCAGGATTTCTGGCCACTTGAAGTTCAAGATGAATTCATGTTTTAAGCCTCTAAATTTGTGACAGTTTGTTGGAGCAGCAGTAGGAAACAAATTGAGAAGGAGCTGTGTGACCGTTGACTGCCTCCTGAAGTGCTAATGAAGAAATTCATGGAAACATTGGGTGCTGCGAGAGGAGCTTCTACATGGAGGAGAAAGAGTTGAACTCTGAGTGGGTCTCTCAGAAGGGCTCCCTCCTTGGGCTGCCTGGTACCCCCCTTTTCAGAATTCACTCCACAGTCAGCCTGTCTCAACGAGCTCAGGGTACAGGATGTATTTCAAATCTGGTATGCAGCAAGAGTGTGGGTTTTCTTTCATTGTTTCTTGTATTTTTGTGTTTACTTCCTCTAAGAAAACATCCTGTGGTAGATTAAAAACTGGCAGGAATAGTTTGAACCCCCAAGAGCAGCATAATTTTTCTCCCTTTCTTACTTTTTTACCTTCAGAATTCGTGAGTGGGGTGCTTTGTTTGTCAAAGATTTGTGTATTTTATGTATAAGTATGTTTTGTCTGCCTGTACATCCACATGTACACCAGAAGAGGTCGTCTGATCCCATGAGACTACAGTTACAGATGCTCATGAGCCACCGTGTGCGTGCTGGGAATTCCACCCAGGACCCTGAAAGAGCAGTTAGTGCTCTTAACTGCTGAGCCAGCCCAAGTTATCTGTCTTTACAGCATGTGCCACCACTGCCCAGTTTGCTCCCTCAGAATGTAAGGGAAACAACAAACAAGAACCCGTCTATGCTAAGGTAACAAGGGTGCGTGAACCAGGAGAAATCACAGATACAACACCAGAAGCAGCAGCATAGCCCAGGGAGAAGATCTTGTGCCGCTGCTCTTGAAGTAATACCTATGTAATGCACTGTGTAACTTAAATGCACCGTGTTTCTGAGGATGACCTTGAACTTCTGAGCTTCTGTTTCCACCTTGTGAGTGCCCAGCTTTTGAGGTGCATGCTTCCTAAGCACTTTATCAACTGAACTTCAGCCCAGCACCTTGAAGTTTTCATTCTTCTTTCTTGTTTGTTTCATGTGCCTGGGTGTTTGCTGCATTCACTCTTGTTGTGGAGTCTGTCTGTGTACTGCATGAGTACCTGGTGCTCAAGGAAGCTAGAAGAGGGCATCAGATCCCCTGGGACTGGAATCCAGGCAGTTAAAAGCCACCTTGTGAGCGCTGAGAGTCAAACCCAGGTCCTCGGGAAAAGCAGACAGAGCTTTTAGCCTTTAAAAGGCTGAGCCATCCCTCCAAACATTTAATAATTTTCTTTTTTGATACTGAGTCTCATGTAGCTTTGGCTGGCCTTGAATTGACTGTAGACCAAGGTGGCCTCAGACTTTGTGCCATCCTCCTACCTCTGCTTCCAGAGTGCTGAGATTACAGGCTGCGCCACCACACTTGACCAATAACTTCACTTTTCAGGGTAAGTGTAATGGTAGATCGTCTGCTCCAAGTGAAAGCTCACCAGCATATCTGAATAGTCCTAGACAGCAGTGACCCAGGGCGACGCAGACATGAATGGGATTGGGTGCAGGCTTAAGCTAAGAGGGTTTCTTGTCTGGGGAAATTGTCAGACAGTGGCAGGAACCATTTGTTTAGAAAAGTCTTCATTATTATCGTGTTCTCAGAGCTCCTCCAGACTGTTTGTTCAATTCCTAAATAATTAAGGAAATGATAAATTGGAATTTTGTTTTATAGACACAGCACATCATCCTTTAAATTAGCACTCGTAGCTGTGTTGCTAGCCTTTACTACTGCACTCAGATGTGTTACAGACTCATTCCTGGAGTGTTTGTAGCAGCTGTCTGAGCCTGCTACAGCTTCAGCTTCAGCTTGGCGATCAGTACCCCTCGGGCGGCCTCAACCACTGGTTTGTTCCTTTAATGGATTTGTAAATGAATGACAGTCACGTAGTGATGGTGAGATTGAATGGACAGACTCAGCCACTGTCATCCTCTCCTCTGCTCTTTAGAGTTTGAAATTTTACATAGAGCTGAAATAAAGTTAGCACTGGACAAAGAGAGCTCCCAATCCACTCTTGTGGAATCTGGGAATTGCGGCCACTATGGGTGGCATCTTTCCCTTCAGCTCAGGGATGGAAGAGTAAACACTGATCACTGTCATCTGCTTTGCTGATGTCAGACCATAGCTGCCATTCTAACTTGGCTGATATTTTCAGAATGTGTATTATTATTGACAAGTTATTGTGTGTATTTTAAGTAACTTGAGTAGCTGGGATTTAGCGTCTTTGTAGGGTGGTTGTTAGCCTTTCCTCTCTGGATGTGGTGGCTTATATACGGGCCTGTTTTTGTTTTTTCCTTTTAAGTCTCTCTCAAGATTGGCAGAGTACACAGTCAATTCATGTCCTACTTTTTGTGCATTTTAGAAACTTACAGAACTTTTATTGCAAGGGTACAGTGCTGTTCCATTTCTGAATGCTTGCTGGTAGCAGGTCCTCACAAGGAACAACTTCCCAGATATATACCACTGCAGGGCTTAGTGCTGGAGTGCTTGCCTAGCATTCATGAGGCCCTGGCTGGGTTTAAATCCTGGCACTTGGGAACTGGGTATGGTGGTGGCACATTCCTGTAAACACTTAGGAGGGGGATACTGGCTATGCGGCAAGTTCCAGCCCTGCCTGGGAAGGCAGTGTCTTCCCATCAAGGTGGTGTCTGTAGAGAGGTCTCTCTTTCCCACTGCTTAGCTGCTCTATGGTTTACTCTGTTCTTTATCACCAGGATCCTAGGATGAGAGAATTAACCTGCCCCCACTTCCTTCCAACAGGCGGACTTAAACTGCAATATCCAAGATGACGCCGGGGCTTTCTACGGTGTGAGTAGTCAGTACGAGAGTTCTGAAAACATGACGGTTACCTGCTCCACCAAAGTGTGCTCCTTTGGGAAACAAGTAGTAGAAAAAGTAGAGGTAAGTTGACCCCTGTCGGTGGGAAAGTCCTCTGGGTAGCCTGTTGCCCTCCTTGAAACACCCGGCAGGCAGCGGGTAGAGGACGGTGCTTTTTCAGGGCACCTTTCCTTCCACTTGCGCCTTCTCCCTGACTCATGGGAAAGGTAAAAAGGACTGGGTGGCACCTGAAAGCAGACAGGATGCTCTGTGTTAGCCTTCTCTGTGAGCGATGCTGGCCCAGCTGGCCAGTACTGGTCTCCGTGAGAGGCCCCCTGGGGGGTTTGATGCTTCCCCACTTCCTAGCTGCAGGCCTGAGCGATAACCAAGGTAGCTGAAGCCCACCCCCATCTAAAACCCGACAGCCTTGAGTTTGATATTGTTGTTTTTGCTTTTTTCATTTTAATTGTTTTTAAGTTTAAATTTCAGCAGGCAATGTTGACCCATGCTGTAATCCGAGCACTTGGGAAGCTGATGCATGAGACTCCCGAAGTCCAGGCCAGCCTAGGCTTTTCACCCAGAAACTCAAACATTCCGTCCTGACATTAGGGAATAGCTGTATTCATCTTGCATCTTTCATGCCCCCCTTCTTTTACAAGCACAGTTATCTTGCCTGGATTAGTTGCTTTTGTGAATTAAGTTTGCAGGTGGCTTTCCCTTTACCTGCCTACTTCCCAGTGTCTTTTGCCTTACCCCACCACCTAGAGAGTCAGGTTTTATTTGCAGCCCTTCTGGACTCTCAGGGCCAGGACCTAACCTGCCTGTGGCAAGACTCCAGCTTCCCACCAAGCTGGAGGGTGCCTGGCAGGAGAGGGAGGGGCTTAAGAGCTTAGGCAGAGCCCTGTGGGTGGTGTGGGCTGCCCAGGGGCCTCCTGAGCTCAGCTTGGGCTGTGTGAGATGGACAGAAGGTAAAAAGGCAGGGAAGGGTGCGTGTGGTTTGAGTTGACGGTGAATTTAATAGCGGTCATGAGCTTTGCTGAAACGGCTTCAGTGGGACTCCAGTAAGAGCTTCTAAATGGGATTTAGTGACTATGTATTAAAGCTTAGAGAGGGGGGAAAGCCAGAGGTCACTCTCTGTTTGCCAGCAGCAGTGACCAGAAAGTGCATTTTCAAGGGACAAATAGGGGATAATTGGAGATACAAGAGTAGACTTGAGAGACAGGAAATATCAATTGGGAATCCCGAGTTTTAGGAATAATTTAAAACTGGGGGTGGGCGAAGAGCTGGCTGCCCTGACAGAGTAGCAGGAACACAAAATTAGGATAAGAGGAGAGAACTAACTACTGTAGGTTGTCCTTTGACCTCTACAAGCATGCAAAATACATACATACACCATACACGTAATGTGTGTGAAAACAGTTATACTTATTAAATATTAATCTTTTTTCCGGCTGACTCTGTCCTTGTAAGCACTCCTGAATATACTAGCAGCTCTGGGGCTGTTCCATCCTCTTTCTGTCTCTTTCCCACCTAGTACGCTGTGGCCTTAGGCACGGGGACTTTGTAACTAGGCTCTAGGGGCAGCTGAAATAAGTCCGTCATACTACTATTCTTTCTCCGTCTTTGCTAAGCTTAGGAACCAGTCTTCCTGTTTCCAAATGATGTGCACTTTATTTAGTGTAAAGAAAGACCAAGTCTGAGCACTATTATTACATTTAAAATGATATATTAATAGTAAATCTATTTGCATTTCTGTCTCATTGTAGGTATTTAATAGGATTTTATGATTTTATCATATTGATTTGTTCCTTGTTAATTCTGAATATTTTATTTTTTGTGTCAGTTTTATGTTTCTAGAACAGACGAGACAGGCTTTGGGTTTTAGAATCTTGATTTAAAGATCTGTATCAAGGGTTTGTCTTCAGAGCTGTGCACGATGGTACAGGCCTTAATCCCAGCAGGTTCAAAGCCAGCCTGATAAACGCGTCTAGTTCCAGGCCAGCCCTGGCTACACAGACCTGTTTCAAAACAAGATCTGTTGCTGGGTAGTGGCACAGGCCTTTAATCCCAGCACTTGGGGGCAGAGACAGGCGGATCTCTGTGAGTTCAAGGCCAGCCTCATCTACAGAGCAAGTTCCAAGTCAGCCAGGGTTCACAGCAGATTGTCCTGTTCAACCCCAGTGGTTCCTCCCTTAGGGTGTTGAGTTCTCTGTGTATTCAGGCTTAGTGGTCACTTCTGCAGTCTCCTTCCACCATGGTTGTTCGGGTCAGTGCTAGCAGTTGTATTTTGAGGGGGCCAGAATCATGTCCTCTAAGTTTGTGTTACCTAGAATTTTGTGAAATACAGTGTGTATGGCAACACACACACACACACACACTTGCTGAAAAAAGGATCTACGAAATCCTTTAAAGGTCACTCTCTGCAACATTTTTTAAACTTCTAGAAAGATAATAGATTCTGTATATAGCAGTAAAGGTAGGCCTTGTTTGTCACTAGGTAATCTACACAAATAACGGAGCACATTAACAGATGATTCGTGTTGAATGTGTGCTTTCAGAAGCAGCCATTCTCTGTGCTTTGAAGTGTAAAATAAAAGTACTCAAACCTCTTTTCCCTTGCAGACGGAGTATGCAAGGTTCGAGAATGGCCGGTTTGTGTACCGAATAAACCGCTCGCCAATGTGTGAATATATGATCAACTTCATCCACAAGCTCAAACATCTACCAGAGAAATATATGATGAACAGTGTTTTGGAAAACTTCACCATTTTATTGGTAATGTTGGTCTCTCTCCTGGTTTGTCACTGACAGTCTGTCCTGAGGCTTGCTGGGCACAGTGAGGAAGGTGTGTGTGGGAGGTAGTAAGGGTTCGAAAGGGAACTTGGATAGCTCTCTGGTGGTGACCCAGCCAGCAAGCTTGAGCTGTACTGGGGCTTGGGTTCAAAGACAGGTCCACCTGTGACCTGAGTCCAGAACAGAGACAACAAGAAATGATGGCCCAGGCTCCTCTGCACCGTGACTGCCGAGTTGAGAGAAGTTGCCCCAATGCCTTGGTTCTGGATCAGTTGCCAGAGTCAGAGGCTCTTGTTCTCAAAACATGTTCATAAAATATTCTGTAATAGGCTGGAGAGATGGCTCAGTGGTTAAGAGCACTGTCTGCTCTTCCAGAGGTCCTGAGTTCAATTCCCAGCAACCACACGGTGGCTCCAAACCATCTGTAATGAGATCTGGCGCCCTCCTCTGGCGTGTGGGTATACATGGAGGCAGAAAGTTGTATACATAATAAATCTTTAAAAAAAAAAAATTATGTAATGGCTTTCGACCGGAAGGCCAGAATGCCAAACTAAAACTCAGAAGAGTTTTCCTAAGGGGCTGACGAGGCCATCTGTGGTGGGACGGCACTCTGAATGGCTGCCACGTTATTCTGTGACTAGAGCAGAGAGCCTGAGGGTTTACCTCGGGAGTGCCATACCTGGCATGTTGCTTCCACTGGGACGGGTTTCTCAGGCAGATGTATGCTGTTCTGTTTGATTTGAAAGGCTTGTTTACCCTTGTTCTTCCTGTTTACAAACAAGTTCTGATTCAAGCTTTATGTGGTGCATGCCCATAATCCCCCATGCTTGGGAGACCGAGGCAGGGGGATCAGGAGGTTGCAGGCAGGCTAGACTACATAATAAGACCTTATCTTTAAACAAGCCAATGAGATGGCTCAGGTAAAGGTGCTTGCAACCCTAGGAACTTAAGTTGTCATGGCATAGCCAGAATTAGGGGTCAGTGCCATCAGGGACTCAGAGCTTAGACATAGGGCTGCATGCATGCATGGGATCTTTCCTACAAGCTGATTTACTCTGGAGAGAGAGACTCTTAGTGGAGTCTCAGCTGTGCCCGTGTGCTCCTGAAGCTTGGAAACTGGAAGTCTGAGGAAAATGGAGAGCATCTGTCTACAGTCACCAGTGCCCTTTGGTGGATGATGAGTTTCCATTGTGGTGGCAGGAGCAGGTGTCTGTCTCAAACTGTGCCCTGCTGCAGTCCATGTTTGGGAGCTGGGGAGATGTAAGTCAGTCGGTAAGGTGCTTCCCACACATGTGTGAGGACTGAGGACTGTTTCTCTGCACAAGAACCCAGGCTTCATGACACCGCCTGTGATCCTAGCGCTGTGGAGGCAGGGACAGCTCGATCCCTGGAGGTCATCGGCCAGCCTGGCCTCATCTTGAGCTCCGTGTTTAGGTAGAGATCATATCTCAAAAAGAAAAATAATAAGATAGAGTGAAAGTGTGATCAAGGAGGACATGCAGGTTCAAACTCTGGCCCAAATACACGCAAAAACAAAGTAAGTGCAGGTCTCGGTGCTTGAGAGCAGGCAGGGAGTGTGGCGCTCTTTTCTAGACTCTCAAACCACCCCGATGACTTGAACTCTTAAGTGTGTGGCCATTCACTTTTTTAGCAGGAGTTTCAACTCTAGCTGTGTGTGTGACAGCATGTTGAGGAAGGTGACAGCCCCAGTCCCAACTTTGCCTCAGAGAGCTGGCTGAATTGAATGTGGCCCTGTGATGTCAAAGCCAAGCCCCTAATTCTCACAGAACCCAGGTACCTGTTAGCAACATGCCTCTGGACATACGACATCCACCAGCAGAGCTATCCTGGGACCTCACTGGCTTTGGTTAAAAATGTATCATTAAAAGCCTGTCATAATGGCACATGTATGTAATCCCTGCACTTGGCAAGTGGAGGCAGGAGGATCAGGAAGGAGTTCAAGGCTAAACTAGGCTATAGAAAACCCTCTCAAAACAGCAAAAGCAGATAAACAAAATGTTTTGATATAAGCAATTAATAATAGCCAAGAAGCATTTGTTAGGAATAATATCATGGAGCTGAAGAGATGGCTCAGTGGGTAAGAGTACTGGTTATTCTTCCAGAGGATCCAGGTTCAAGTCCCAGCACCCACATGGCAGTTCACGACTGTCTGTAGCTACAGTTCCAGGGTACCTAACACCCTCACACGTACATACACGTAGGCAAAACACCATAACAAAGAAAAAAGAAACAATATCATAGCTTTAGGAAACCACAGACTTCAGAACTACGAAGCATACACCGTCTAGTTGATGGACAGGAGGAGTTACACTACATGGACAATTTAAAGCCATGCATACTGATAGGCTAGGCTCTCTGGTTCCCTCCCTTGCCTTGGGAATTGAGCTGAATACACAGAGGCAGTGAGAGCCCATGCAGAGCTGAGAACGACAAAGCTGAGCCATGAGCCAGTGTGCTTTGATCTCAGTCTTTTTGATATCAAGGTAACAGAGGTTGGACCTGGTGCCGTAGCTTATAATCCCAGATTCTCAGGAAGCCAAAGCAGGAGAACTGCACATTCAAGGTCTACCTGGGCTGCTAGAGAGTTCAAGGCCAGCCTAGACACCTTAGTGAGACTCTGTCTCAAATTAAATAATGAAAAGATGGGGGCCTGAGAGCTGGCTTGGCAGTTAAGAGCACTTGTTCTTACAGAGGACCAGGGTTCAGTTTCCTGCATGGTGTCTTACAGCCATCTGACTCCAGCTCCAGCGGCTCTGAGGGCACCAGACGCATGTTACACATAGATGCCTGTAGGCAAACATGCACACATATAAAGTAAAATCAAATAAAAAACTTTAAAGCAGAGTGAAAAGAGGCCTGGGGATGTTCGTTGGTAGAGAACTTGCCTACCATGCATCAGGCCCTGGGTTTTCAATCCTCAGTATAGACAGACAGGCAGGCAGACAATGAATTTATAAGAAGATTGATGTGTCTAAGTCATTTCTAGCATTACATTATATAAAAAGACCCTTTGTAAATGTTATTATAAAATTCTTACCATGAATTACAGTACCGTTTTTATGGTTAAAGAGTCACTATGACCCACCCAAGGTCATGGCAGTTGACACAGACTTGAGTCATAAAATCAGAAAGCTTGAGCCCTCTCTACTTTATGTGCCTAGCCAAGACTTTTAAAGTCTTCAGACCTGCATGTTGTCTTCATTCATAAATGGATCTCTCAACTCTGTGTTCTCCACCTCAAGATGACCAGTAAGAGTCTTTTAAGCCCCCACAGCTTAGACTATGGGTATAGCCTTGGCTGCTAGGAAGTGATTTAGTAACACAGCGTTTGTGCCATGGTGACTTATGGCCTCTGGCCTGTTGAGTCAAAGAAGCAAGTGAGGAGATTATGACACAAAGTCATAAATTGTTGAGTATTTCTGAACTAAGCCCCATGGAAATCCAAAGAGATGTGGGGGTGTGGGGTTCTCGGGGATGGTAAACAGGGCATTGAAGTTGAAATATGACATTTTTCACATTCATCAAGGAAGTAAGACTTTACCTAAGCGCATATTCGGGTGTCAGTGCTAGGAATATTGTGATGGACTGAATGCAGGGTCAAATGGGGGAGGCAGGCATTCGTCCAGTAAACGAATGGGAAATCAGATGATCACCAGTGTCTGACAGAGAGGTGCATTGTGCTGAGATGGTATCATATGTGTAGGTCCTAGGTGGGTTAGCATCTTCCAACTGACTAGTCTAGTGCCCCAGTCTCCTGTCATAGGGAACAGTAGCACCCAGTCACAGAGCTGTGAGGTTGGATGCCACCCACTCTGGGCCAAGCATTCATTCTGTGGTAGATGGATCGCGAGCACACAGCATCGGTGGCCGTTGTGAGTTTTGATCACTCATCAAATGCTTGGTCACGGCGCACCATGCCTGAGCTGGTTAACTAGGAAAACACGGTCCAGTTCTTCCTAGTCCACTGGGTGAGATGGATATTGAAAAACAACCAATCTATATGAATCGCATAGCTCCATGGAGAAAATCAGAAGTGAGGCTTTATTCTTTCAATCAGGCACCCTGAGCTCGGGTGCTTGAAAGCAAGGGAAACTTAAATGGGTGAAGCCGACCATTGCGGAGGGGAAATTAGGCCGTCGACAGGCTAGATAAGGCACTCAAGTCAAAAATGTTTTTGAACATGAAAGTCACAGAAAACCACTGAAGCGCTGTGAGGTTGTAAATCTGATCGGATTGGACTTGAGAATGTTCCTTCTGGGGTGGCGCGGGGTCGGGCGGGGGAGGCAGTTTGAGGAACAGAGCCAGAGCTCAGATCTGAAAGAGGCTAATCATGGGAAGGACAGCAACCCAGGGGGAGCGGATGGGGAGTCTAACGCATCGGGAGAAGTGCAGCCTGTGCCAGCTGGGCTCCAGATAAGACTCTGTCTGCACCCCTGTTCTTTACACAGCCAATACCTCCGCTGTATCCAGGTACTGCTGGCTGATGTGATCTACTAATCAAGGTGCCCATGAAGTTAACTCTGTAGTTAGCTGTTGTAAAGTAGAATTTAACTCAAGTTAAATGTAACGTGGGAAAATAAGATTTTAAATATTTTTAACATAAATAAATAAATATCCTTACTATAGTAATTAGCTTGATTTAACCGTCCCATGATGGATCAGATCACACCACCACCCTATAAACTATATAATTACTTGTCAATTCAAATGAAGATAAAAGTACTAAAATAAGTGAAAGCTAAAACATGTGAATGTTCTATGAGAGAGGATTATTGATGACAAACAGATTATTGATGAATACAGAAACCACAGCAGCTCTGACAGATGATCTATTGGCAATGGCAATGGGTCTTCCTTGATTATGGTACAGGGCTCAGGTGGGGTTCCAATGGGACTTGCAATCCCCTGAATGTGTTGGAGGATACAGAGCGAGGCCAAACAGGTCTTTGATCCACCCGTCACCTTCAGACAGCTGCTCTCCCATCAAATCATGCTCTTGGCACAGATAGGCCATGATCTCATTTTATGCCTTTTGTTTTTTTTTTTTCAACAGGTGGTAACAAACAGGGATACACAAGAAACTCTCCTCTGCATGGCCTGTGTTTTTGAAGTTTCGAATAGTGAACATGGAGCACAGCATCATATCTACAGGCTTGTAAAGGACTGAACCTGGTTATTTATATAGATAGAAATCTGTATATACACACACATATGTGCACACACACACTCTCTCCATTATCAAACGACTGACTGTAAACCTCACCACAGGTGATGCCCTGGCCCCCAGGTCACACCCTGACTTTTCTAAATCCTGTTTGAGTGAACTTATTATTATTTTTTCATGTGTTCTTGCTATCATTGTAGCTGTGAAATTGTGATGCGGTTTTTTGTGTATTCCTCAGACCTGCAACCCACAATTCCTTGGGGAAGGTGAATCTTACCAGCCTAAACCTCTCTCTCTGCAGACCTGTTTCCTGTTGTGGTAGAAAATAGTTCTGAGACAGAGGATTGGCCACGGGGCATCGACTGCCTTTATACAAATGTATTTAGTTCTTTTGTTTGTTTTTCCAACATAAAATTCTTGTGTTAAGATACAAGTAAAATTAATCTTTAAATGTAAATTAGTACAAGAAAACTAAGATTCTTTAGACTTATCTTTGTAATTAATTAGGGTGGAAGTTATGGAAGAATGTAATTCACTAAATTATTTTTTAAATGAAATCTTTCTTTCTTTTTAAAACCAAATGTTAAACTATAGCCTTAAGAAATACTTGGTAGAAATATCCTAATGAGACAAATTTTTTACCTTCCCCTTCAAGGTTAAACTAATATCTTAATTCATTAAACTGTTGAAACAGGTGTTGCAAAGGAAGAAATTGTCACCCCTTATCCTTAACATATATAGTATATTTAAAAATGTAAAATTGTATTGTACTAATGTGATAATTGATTATTTAATGAAAAAGAAAAGATGGCTCTTTTTGCAATAAGTAGATAATACTGAAACAAATCTAAGCTTACAATGTTATAGTCTTGTGTGTGCAGTTACATTTTATATGGTCAACCAAATTTTTTATGGAGAAGAGTTCACATTTGAACCACTGAAATTTCATAGCAAAAATTTTTAAATTGGCATGAATACTGCACTGTGAGTTGCAAAGGATGTAGAATCGTGTGGCTGGGAGAAAACTGTCATCATCTGGACAAGTAGAAGGCTCATCGGGCTTGGTCACTGCTCCCCCAGACTGTCACTGTCGCAAGCCTCCCCACCAGCCTGTGGGTAGTTGGTTTCTGGTAACCCAACGTGCGTGGGAAGCTCTGAGTTCCTGCACGTGTGGATATTCAGTTCTCTGAACTCCTGTTTCCTGTGGTTTCCTATTGCTCATCACCTCTCTTGATCTGCTTTACAGACGGGGATCTATTTCCTCTGAGCGCGTCCCTTTCCTTGACATCTCTTCATAAGCCTCAGTGGCTCTTCATGTGCCCTCTCTCCCCACACCCCTCTCTCTGATCTTTTCAAGCAGACTCCCTCATTCAGGTAGTTCTGTTTCCAAGAGAGATTTCACTGCTCTGACCTGAGTATTCCAAAGCATTGCCCAGCAGCGTTGGTCTCATGTGGCCAGTCTGGGGTTACTTTCCTATGTGCTTTCTCACTAGGGAAGCAAGAAAGGTTACCCCTCTGCTTCCCAGGGAAGGCAAGAGGAAAGCTAGAGTTTCCTTAGACTCACATGCACACACACAGATAGGAATATGTGAATACAGTAGAACATGACATAAACTTTTTAAGTTTAAAAATCAAACAGCATGGCGATTTTTTTTTATCTGTGTGCCAAGACTATCAAGTTAAATCCTACTTCTACTATATCCAGATGACACACACCCCTTCTTTGTCCCAACATCTGCTCTGGCTGTGCTTATATGGTATTCAGCTACTTGTGGTCTTTGGTGGTTGGGCGTGGCTGGCATGTAGTTAAAAGAACCACACTGGATTGACTCTTGTCTCCTCCCAGCTGCATCCCTGGTCCCTGGGAAGACCTGAGGAGAATGTGCAAGACTTTGTCATTAGCAATATGTCTCCCTTGTGTGAGCCAGCAGGGCATTGTTCTCTTCAAGAGAACTAACTGCCTTGGTTCCCTGAGTCTAAGCCAGCCCTCAAAGAATGGTTGCCCTGGGTTTCTCCCCATAGTCTTCAGAACAGATGTTTAAAGATCTGTCCTGGGGATGTTTCTTTAGCTTTGATTTCCTATATCCTTCCTCTAGAGAAATGTCCTACTAACCTGAGACCAGGACCATACAAATAGGTACAAATGATCTGTGCCTACAGGCCAGGCCATCTCAGAAGGTGATGAGGGAGAGGTCTACCACTCAGGAGTGGACTTGCCTCTCTATACCTCCCAAGCTCTGGGGGTTTATTTCTCAAGTACCACCTAGAGGGTACTGGTTGTCAATGGGGAGGGGTATGCTTTCTCAGAATTAGGATAATGTCTCTGTTGCCTCACTGTCTGCATCCTCTCCTTCCAAATGCCTTTCCCATGCGAGCGGTAGGAATGACCATGACTCACTTTTTGCTCTGAAAACAGCTATTAATTTCTTTAATATATATATTTTTTCAACCCCCCCAACTTATTTCCTTCCTTATATCTCAACCCCTCCCAGCTTCCTGTTCTTTCTCACCTTTAAAGAAAGAAAATAACCATCATCTTACAATTACCATCGCTATGATGAAACACCATGACCAAAGAAACAAATTGGGGAGTGAAGGGTTTACTTGGCGTACATTTCAGCATCATAGTCCATCACCAAAGGAAGTCAGGGAAGGAACCCGAGACCAGGAATTAATGCAGAAACCCTGAAGAGGTGCCGCTTACTGTCTTGCTCCTCATGGCTTGTTTATCCTGCTTTCTTATAGAGTTCAAGACCAGCAGCCCAAGGATGACACAACCCACAGTGGGCTGAGCCTTCCCCTCTCCAGCACTAATTAAGAAAATGCCCTGCAGCCCCTCCCCCCTGCCCTTTCGAGACAGGATTTCTCTTTGTAACAGCCCTGGCTGTCCTGGAATTCACTCTGTAGACCAGACTGGCCTGCCTCTGCCTCCTGAGTGTTGGAATTAAAGGCGTGTGCCCCCACCACCCGGCTCTACAGCCATTTCTTCTGGAGATCTTTTCTCAATTGCGGTTCCCACCTCTCAGATGCTGTATCTTGTGTTAAGTTGATGTTAAAGCCAGCCAGCACATCCACCATGGCAAACTCGTGCTGCCCACATATGTAAGGGTGTGCAGGCATCCACTGGAACCACAACTGCACGCTTAAGAGAAAACTGGCTTCGGCTACCCCAGAAGCTATCAACTGTCAGTAGCTCCTCAGCCTTGGGATGGAGGCTCCTGAGCTCTTCCCAGCCTCACTCAGTGCTGGAATTTGCCCAGCTTGTTCTCACAGCATGTGGGTTTATAAGACCGATGACCCTTTTATGTCCTAAAGACACTGTTTTTCTCTCCAGCACCCTCTGTCCCACCTCCTGCTTTCCTAGTCTTTCCACTGTGTCTTTAGGAGTCTTCTGGGGTGTCCCTGTCTAATCAATACTCAGTTAGCCCAGACTCGCTTTATCTCCCACATGAAAGCCTTGGGTGGGATTGCGTCTGTTCTTCTTGGTTCCTTCTCCCCTCTTTACAACTCCCTAGACCTTAAGGCTGTCCTGGCCGAGTCCTGTCCTCTCTCTTCCCTCACCCCTCCCTTCTTAGTGTTGTCTCACAGTGACTCTAGGACAGCTCTGTCAGGGACGTGTAGACATCTTGCTCGCTCACCACCTAGTTTAGAAGCCATCTTTTCAATGAAAGAGACCTACATGTCCTGAGACTCCCACAGTCCAGCAAACTAGAGGCCAGGGACATTTTAGCTAGTTCACTGACCATTGCCCTGTGCGCTGTCAGAGGTTTTTAGAATCTGTGGCCACTTTCACAGTTGTTACAGCTCATTGCCCGGGGTCGCGCAAGGTTCAGCCTTATGTGAAAATGGCTGCCCTTTCTCTTGCTTGTCATTAGCATATTGATAACCAGTTTTTCTCCACTTGTCCTGTGAAAGCTTCTCTCCTATAAGCCTCTTTGCAGGGGAAGGGGGTCAGGAAGAGCCAGATGGGTGTTACTCTTCAACACCCCCCTCCTCCTGTACAGCTACCATCTCTTTCCTGTCGCCCTTTCTCCCATCTCTTGGAAAACTGGGTACAGCTAGCCAGCACCTTCCCTGTAGCCATCTGACTTCCTTAAAGAGCATTTCTGTTTTGTCCTGTAGCCCTTACCTTACCGGGGCTTAAAAAGAGACACCCCCCCCCGATTTGGTTCCCACTCTCTCCCTCGTCCTTTAGTTGTTGGGGTTCTTGGGGTGTGTTTTAGCTGTTTGGGTTCTTGGGGTGTGTTTTAGTTGTTGGGGTTCTTGGGGTGTGTTTCTCTGCACTGCTTCATGCTAGCTGTTGTGTCTCTTTCGGCTTTAGGGTGGAGCGGACCTGGGTCTGTTCAGGAAGGTGGCTCATACTCAAACCAAAAGAGAACACAGTTCATTCCCCTTCCCACGGGGTGAGAGGTGCCTGGTCCATAGCCTCCCGGCTAGTTAGTCACAGACAAGGGTGAGGGCTTCTCTTTCTTCTTCAGCCTCTTCTGGGTGGAAGCCATCCTTCCTTGGTGCTCTGTGCTTAAGTGATCCCTGAGAATGCATGGGCAGGGTCACTTCAGATCCCCTCTAGCTGTCCGGGGACCACAAGCAGAAGGCAAGCCTGATGTGTCTCTACACTTCCTCGGAGGACAGTTCTCCAGCCACAGGCTTTGAGTCAAATTTCTGTTTGCCACCCATCCCAGCAGCCAAGTCCTGTTCACACACCAGCCAAAACAGAGCCTTTGGTGTTAAAATCCCACAAAGGACTTTTAGATCCAGGTCTTCATTGGGCTTCGGAACCATGGTGGCATTAGCCACTGTTTTTATACAACCGCAGATATTGAAGTCACACGACAGTCAGTTTTACAAACCAGGTACCTGTAATTTGTATACTTTTTGTATCTGCTCTGGTGTACCACACCTGTCCTAAGGAAGGGTAGAATAATAACTAACTGTGTGTCGGGGTCCTCATCTGTGACCTTAGGAGGATGCACGAGTTGCTGACTTCTCTGTTGATGTTTCTGTGGCTAAGCCCTGCACGTGTCTTTTCTGCAAAGCCTTAAATCTTGGAGATGTCACGTCGTAGGGTGTCGGTCTGACGGGCTGCCTGGGAACCGTGAGCCCTTTTGTAAGCTGGAAGCATTTCTCTTACTACTGTTACTTTTCGTTTCCTTTAAGGGAGTTTTCACTTCCCAGCTGCCAAAGCCTCCCAGTGAAGCAGTGCCTTAGTACTTCCTTAGTAGCCGCCAGCCTTTTCTCAAGCCTCTTCTCGGTGTCCTTTTGCTAATTGGCCCAGTATCCGAAGCAGGACAAGCCAAATCATTCTTATTTTTGTTTCAAAAGCCCGTTTTTTAAATCCAGCTCTATAGGAAGCTGAGGACTTGGTTTCAGACAAGCCGAATCGGAACCCAAGTCCATCCCTTGACCATGCTCTCACATCCGCATCCATACCAAAACTAAAGGCTGCCACTCCGCAGTTTGCTATGAAGAGTGAATTGTACTTTTCATTGATGCCTTTTTAAATTCATGACCAAATACTTAGCTATTTGTGAATCTTCTGCACTCCCGCATGAAAGTGCCTTTGGCTCGAGATTCCAGCTTAGAAAGTGCCACCGTAATAACGACAATTTGTAGAGAGACCAAAAATATTTTGAGATCACCATAATGCCTTTGGTTAACCGGGATGAGTAACCAATCACAGGCCTCTATTCACGAGAGCACCGCGTGGTCCCTGCCTGCTGTGAGTCTGCCTGCCAGTGGGGACCCCACCACCACTCAACCTATAGCACAGTGCGGCAGCGGGGAACCCCGTGAACTGTTGTGTCTGTGTGTGCCGACTCCCCCCGCCCCCCACTGCCCGGCATGTCCGTCAAGTCGTCACCCAGCTCTGCATCCCTGGGAAGGAACTCGCGCACAAGCACCCAAAAGCCCGGCCAGTGGACAGACACCACGGCTTCGCCTTCCCCATGTGTCCATGTCCAGTCTGTGGAGACTCTGGTCCACTGGGACGACAGTGCGCACTTGCCTGCTTTACACAGCGATACTGTTCGGTTGTTGGAAGCCTCGGATTGAGATGACAGTGCAGAACAAAAATCAAAAATGGGTTCATTAGGGTCATTGCAGTCCAAGTGTCTCTGGGCAGATTTTCTGGCTCCGGATGTCCGAATGTGCTGTGAGAGACTTCCAAAGAGCACAACATTTGCAATTGGGCATTTTCAAGAATGTTCTAGTCCTCAGAGAGCCAACTCTTTGAAGTATGTGTCAGCTTAGAGTAAAATCTTTGTGCATCTGGAAAACCCTACAGTCAGGAAAAGGACAAAGAGGCAAAAAGGAGCCAGGAAAAAAATAGTTTGCTTGGTTTTTTTCTTCTCTTTTTCTTTCTTTCTTTTTCTTTCTTTTCTTTTTCTTTTTCTTTTTTCCTTTGCTGATATAAGTGTAAAAGTAATGACAGATAACTTTGGAAGTTAGCCTCGAAACACTACCACATGTGTTCTCTCTGTCCTTCCCTGGTGTCGAAGAAGCAGCCGCTCTGGGCTCCGAAATCACAGAAGTGATTTGTATCCACCCCAAGTTGTATAAAAGTCCTGTTTGTTTTGTTTTTAAAGAAAAAACAACTATCAAATGGAAAGGAGAATTCCTTAGTACAGGTTAGAGTTAGTTGTCTGGTGTCTTGGACTCCTCCCTGGCAGGAACACACCACAACTTGAAGAAATGAGTCAACCGTGTTTCCTTGTGCCTCCTCCTAGTCAGTGCTGTCTTGTTTGGCGGTAGTTGTTGCTCCTCAACTCTTGCTTATATCCTTAAAAATGAAGGTTTTGTGTTTTAAATGTACTGCATTGCAAAGGGTAGGCCTCACTGAAGTCGTGTGCTGTCGACTAACATATCTGTATTTATTGCGCCTTCCTTACCTGTTTTTCTGTGAATCTGCATTGGGTCCCTGTGCCCCACATTGTTTTAGGTAGAAGCAGCATTTGTGCGTGTGTCCCCACCCTTGCTCGTGACCATAAGGTCAGATCCCACTAGGCTGCAGCCTTGCTCAGCCTGGCCCTTGTTGGTTTTCACCATGGACATTCTATTTCCCCTCCTTCTTAGAAAGGCGGGCAGAATCCACACGTCCATCATTTTGGAAGACCTGTCAATGAGTTTTGTGTTTTTATTTTTCAGATTAATTGTTTCCTGTGATTAGTTTCACTGTGTAAACTAGATATTAACTGCACTTCTTTAAAAACAATGTACGTCTCCTGTTACCTCCTTGAAAGATCAACTTCTCTAGGCCTTTTTCAGTAGGCTTATGACTTCAGACAAGGAAAAAAAACAGTAAAAACAAAAACAGTACGTGCCTGAAAAAATGACAAAAAAAAAATCTCTTTTTTTTGTGACGTTTAAAAAACCTGAAAAGCCTTGACTTCTTTGATACGCTCGAATTTTATGAAAATTGGTTTTTGCCTCGTGTATTTGTTCCCGTTCTAAGCGACTTCATGGCTTCTCTGTTGTCTCTTGTGTAAAGTGTAGAGGATGGACTTGTGGCGTAAGTGTTTCATCTGGTCAGTGGTTCCTTTGATATTGTACTGCTACTGGATCTGGATCTGCCGGAACCTGAGCCTTTGGGTGACTGGGTCCTCTTTGAGGAGACCATGGAGAAAGGGTAGAGGGGCTTATCCACGTTTTCTTAAACTGTTTGCAGAAACTTTGAAAAGGCATTTGGCTAAAGCTCCCGGCAGTACAGTATTCTTGTATTCCTTAATGTTTGTGTTTAGGTACTGGTACCTTTTTGTTTAAAAATGTTGTAAGTGTTGGCTTTAAAGTGAATTTATCTTTAGTATGATAGTTATATGAAAATTATAGGGTTTGTGTGCAGAGAATTTTTTTATAAAGTGCTTTGTAAAAAAATGTATTCTAGCTTTCGCGGTACATATGTGTGATAACTTTAATATCCATGACAGTTAAGTGCAATTATTTCTTCACTCTAAAAATGCTATTTTTGTGTCAGTTCCTGCAGGTGTTCTCATGTCTTTGCAAAGTGACACATTTTGATGCCTTCTTGATAAAGTGGTAGACATTTTGTAGCTTTCTAGAAACTTTGTATCCATACGGTATCAATGAAAAAATAAAGAAAATGAAAGTGTGGGTCACCTTTCTTGTCTGCAGAAGTCTGTGTTGTTGAGAATGGAATCTGCCTCCTTTTGTCATAAATCACATTGCTTTCCTGGGATGGGAAGTCCACAGCAGCCAGGCCATGCTCAAGCCTCTTCTTCCACCATGTAAGTGGGGATGATTGAACTTGGGTCATCAGGCTTGGCAGCCACTGCCTCTACCCATGGGTTCGTCTTGCTCTCTGTGGGGTAGGGGTTATATGAAGGAGGGAGGGAAGTGGGTTGGAGCTGTGGTTGTGTCTACTGTGCCTGATCACTCGAGCTTTAGGTGTGCCGTACAGGGTTTCTTCAACACCCACGAGTTCAGTTGGCCTTCAGCCAACTGTCTCTGGTGCTTTGTTAAACTTGACAGAAGTGGACCGACAGATGGAACTCAGTTGATAGAATGCTTGCCTAGCGCAAAACAGAGCCTTATGGTTTGGTCCTCAGCACCGAATAAATGAAGTGATGTACTGCATGCCTTTGATCCCAGCACCCCACCCTTGAGGTAGAGATGGGAGGATCGGGAGTTCAAAGCCACCCTCAGCCACATACTTAGTTTGAGGCCAACTTCGGCTATGAGACCCTATCGCCAAAATCCAAAGTTTTGTGGAATAGTTTATCTTGTCTGTGGGTTCCATACACACCCTGAGACGCCACATCCTGTGAATCACAACTTGTATGTTGTTAACTTACTGTGTGCATGTCTGGGACCAAGGGCAGGTAGAGCCAGCGATAAATGCACTGTGAGCCTCCTGCTCCGTGCTCGTGTTCTCGCAGCTGGTTGCATGTTAAGTCATGAGCTCCAGCCCCAGCGGCACTGGTTCCTGTGTGACAGGAGGTCCCACAGCTGCGTGCTGAGTGGTGAGTCAGGCACTGTGTCCCTTGTGTTGGCATAACCATTGTGTGCTGTGGTCCTCACTCCAGTCCCAGTGACAATGCTTCCCGAGTCTCAGAAAGGCTAGCTCGTCATGACTGACAAGGGGTAGAACCTTATTTAGGTTCATTCAGCCTGACGCTTGGGCCTCATCTCTTGGCCTCTGCACCTTGGTTGACTGGAGACAGCGGAAGCATCTCAAGGCTAGGAGGAAATGTGAGTGCGCTGAAGGACATCACTGAACTGTGATGACTGGGATTTTTGGCAGTAACAATAGAAGCCTTCAGCTTGTGAGCTGGGCCTCAGGGGGTCTTGCTTCTCTGTTTCTGCCTAAAGCCCGGGGCCCTAGAAATGTGTGCTTGTTTTTCCCTATTCATATATTTTCATGGGTGCTGTGATCTGGTGCAGAGTGGAGGAGAGGCCCAGGGAAGCTTTTTGTCTTAAGTGAGACACTTCCCTATTTCTGTTAGTCCATATGCTCTTGACCCAGGCTGGCCTCAAACTCACAGAGATCCACCTGCCTCTGCCTCCCGGGTGCTGGGATTAAAGGTGTGTGCCACCACCGCCCGGCTAAAGTAAAGGAGTTCTTGACAACTTTTCTATGATTTAGACCTAAGGAAGTCATAGGCCTTATTTAAGGCCGGTAGGTATGTCACAGGCACGTCCACTACAAGTGCTTTTAGCCACTGAGTACTCCTGTCCCAAAGCCTAGCGCTTGGCATATGTCAGAAGCATTCTTTGTTAGTGCTGGAGGTTCCGTGGAGTTCCGCACGGAGTGAGGCACCAGGAAGACAAACACCAGAGCATGAGGGCATTTGGGGAGCATGGGGGAGTGTGAGCTAAGATCTGAGGGGACTAGCAACTTGGCTGGGAATTCTGATGCTTCCTTGCTGCTACACTGCCTCAAGGTACTAATGGACACAAGTAGAAAGCCGAATTATCTCTTATGTGAGCACTAAGTGACCGAGGAAACCGGAAACCCATTCAAAACCCATAGTGGGAAGTTGTAAAAGTTCGCAGAGACATCTTCTGTCCAATGCCTGCTCATCAGATGTCTCAGTTGTCATGACAGCAAGTAGGCCACTGACCGCCTGGCTCTTCAGCAAATGTTTTCATTCACTTTAAGAATTCACCCCAAGAACCTAAGGCTTAACATTTGTGCTCTGCAGTATTGATAAGGAACCAAATAAAACCTACAGGAAGAGTGGAGCTAACAAATGCAGCTGGCAAGATGGCTCATGGGTGAAAACACCAGCTTTCAAGCCAAACAATTTAAGTTCAATCTCCAGGGCCCATAGGTTGGAAGGAGAGAGTGGACTCCCACTAGTTGGTATACAATGTAATCTTTAAAAAAAGAAAAAGGTGCCAGCAAACAAAACTCCAAAAGGAAACTTAGTATAGCCTTATTAATCTCCAACTAATATCACTCAAGGTAAAAATTCTCACTAGAGCCAATGAGGATTACTTCACAACTGGTACAAGTTTGGATTGCTGCAGAATAAAATGCAAGGCTAATGCATGCCCATTAGCATAGCTACAGGGTAAAAAGTGGATAAATTGATGACGACACTGGGTTGTAAACATTCAGTTATAAAACACATACAGCAACAGGATTTGAACATCAGAATTTGATGAACATGCTCTAATCTACTGAGTGCAAAATGATGAACCACAGAATTGGAGGCTATAAGTTTTTTTCAAGAACACAGAATTTTTAAGAATATTGACCATAGCCAAAGCAAGCAGTCAGGAAACTGGTCAATGCAAAGTGACCCAATGTCCAGAGTCTTACTGGGACACAGCTGTCACTATTTGTTAGCCTGCTGCTGTGGCTGCTTCCAGCTGTCATCCTCGGGTACATTTACCTCCTTTGAAATCATAGTCCTGGTCCAAAAGTTTGCTGCTGAAGCCGGAAGGGTGGCCCTCGAGTCCCAGAGATCCTTTTGTCAACACTGCCTCAGGGCTGGGATTACAAATGTATCCTCCCATGCCTCCCTCTTTTTACAGTGTGGGTTTTTGGGGTCAAACTTATGTCTTTCTAACTGAACAATTCTTCCAGCCTAGGAGTGGTGATTGTGATTGCTTGCAACAGCTGAACCTGCTCTTCCAGTCAAAGAAGCAGTCAACAGCACCTTCCATGGCTGCCTTGCCCCTGGCTTGCCCTGTGGGCTGCATCTCTTGCCCCTGGCTTGCCTGATGGGCTGCATCCCTTGCTGGCTTTGTTTCCCTGTTGCCTCTGACAGTCACGTGCTGCCACCAGAGTGCTAATGTCTCCACACAGTTCCATGTCGCTCCTCTTTGCCCCAGTTTCTCAGCAGAGTTGTTTAATGAAGGGCCAGACATTTGGGGCGCATGGTAAGTGGGCACCTGGCTGCCATCAGTCGCCCCAAGTGCGGTCCCGGAACTTTCAGAGCCCCACCTTGTTTACTCTCCACCATAGTTTCCTTCAGACAGCAAGGGGCTTCCCAGAATCACATCAGAACTAGCACCACGTTTTCTTTGGGATATGAAATCCTGAATTGTAGAAGGGTGCCAGGTATACCAATGTGCTTTCTGTAATTAGCCCCAAGGCAAGTTCTCAGGATTCGCTCCAAGTTCTCCAAGACCAAAATCTTTCAGTTCCTGCTGAGAGGCATTCAGGTTGGGCAGATGCTGTGGCTCTTACTGGTCCCGCCCTCCAGAAGCAAGGATGCAGCTTTCCTGACTGGACCATACTGAGGATTTGTTTATCCTTAATCTAGATATGGTGGCAGAAATTTTGGCAGATCTTTGGGAGGTGTTCTAAATTGAAGTGTGCACTTAATAACTGTGCCTTATTGAATATGAGACAAAAATAAGAAAGTGCCCCAAATTAACTATACACTTCTCCCTGTCATGAATGAAGCAAGCCAATACGAAGAAATGTGGACATTTTATATTAGTGAGCTTGCTTGTGTACACAACATAGCCCCAGGTTTTCAAATGTAAGGAAACGATTTGAAAACTATATTCTTACAAATTAGGCAAATTTCTGTATGTCAGAGGATTGCTGTAATAATAGTCTCTCTCTGGTCTTAGTGCAATAGAAAAGGATTGCTGTAGTAGTCTCTGGCCCGAATACAGTAAAGGTATAAATCAATGTAGGAAGAATTTTTAAAGAAGGCTATATATGCCTCAGGATGAATAAACAATTTAATTCATAAAAAATTAGCCATGGAAATTAAAGTAGCCTTAGAGTAAGAAGTGGGTGTGATGACTCATGCTTCTAGTACTCAGGAGGCTGAGGCAGTAGGATTGCTGTGGATCAGAGGCCAATCTCGGCTACATGAGTGTGAGACCCTAGCAAAAATAAAGAAAACACCACGTATTATATAGAATACCCCTAAATTAGTCTCCAGCGGTGTTATGGAACGTTACTTTAATTATGTAAAGATGTGTTACATTTTCTTTTGCTGCATTTGTTTAATGATGTAAAGATGCCTAAGGCACCTGATTGTTCTACTAAAAAGCTCAACAGCCGATAGCTAGGTAGTAGAGACAGGTGGGACTGTCAGACCGAGAGAATAAATAGGAGGAGGAATCTAGGCTTGAGAGAAGAGAGAATAATGGAGAAAGAAAAGGAGATACCCAGGGCCAGCCAGTCAGACAGACACAGAAGAAGAAAGAAAAATAGGATGTATAGAATGAAAGATTAATAAGCCGCAGGGCAAAACGTAGATGAAGAGAAACAGGTGAAATAAGTTATAAGAGCTAGTGGGACAAGCATAAGGTTGAGCATTCATAACTAATATTAAGGCTCTGCATCATGATTTGGGGGAATGATGGTCAGAGAAAGCCTGCTACAAGGATTCATACATTCTAACACTCCTAGAATGTGGTATAAGAAAGGGAGGTTAATGTTGAGCCAGACATTCATTTCCCAAAGTTAAAGAACAAACAAATTGGATAGGGAGGGAGGGATGAATGGGAGGACCTCATGGTGGCTTTTACAAACTAAGTAGGAAACAACAACACAGTTTAAAGTTGACTCCTCAGTGTATAGAGAAATCTTCAGAACACTGGCAGTTTGGAAGATACCAAAAATAACAGGGGAATGGAACATCACCACAGCACTTAGAGGAGACTCATGAAAATATGATAGATG